ATCATTATACATATTTGAGTTCGCAATTAGAAAAATATAAATAATATTTGATTATTTAATAACAAAGGGGTCAAAGATGATAAAAGAGGTGGATTTTTACTAGTTAGTTAATAATATTTATTAAATAATTTGAAAAATTTGAAAAAAAAATTGGTCATGTGATCAAGAAATTAAGAACACGAATTTGTTTATCCTTGACTCGGAGAAATATGCAAGATCGCGATCAGTTTTGAAATAAAAAATTTTAACACTCTAACTTTGTAATATTTTCACATTAACACGTGTCATGTTATAATGCAAAGGGTTAATGCAAAGGGTTTAATATGCAAAGGGTTAAATATGCAAAGGGTTAATATGCAAAGGGTTAATACAAAGGGTTATTATGCATAGGATTTTAACTAAATAGTCTATATTTCATATATATTTAGAAATCTAATATTTTATAACACTAGATAATTTAACGTTAAATGCAAAATAAAAGATTTTTGCCAGTTATAAGTGACGCCAAGAGAAAACCTGTAATTTCTCATCTTATGGGAAAACTTATCAAATGCATAATAATGTGAATTACAGGTTTTCTCTTGGCATTGGCATCACTCGTTTGGAAATAGATTTTAAAAATATAAATATGTGGTCGAACTTTGGTCATGTTTAATGCAGTAATGTGAATTGCTCATCTACGTAGAAGTTGCAATATATATAGAATTCTTATTACGGTAATTGAAATATCGTGTGTCCTGCAGACAATGATATAGTTGTCACACCTATTTTTGCATTAGCTTTAAATATTGGAATTTGAATTATATACGTATATCGATACTGTTAATCCAATCCGAAGATAAAAATAAATGCATTAATGGAATTGGCTATATGTGTGTATTTAGATCAAGTAATTTTATAAGTGTTATTATTAGTTGGACCAGTGTGTGAAATTCAATTTTACTTTTATGTGCTCACGAGAACATTTTTTTCAAACCCTTGATGTTCTCAAAAATTTTTTTATCGTTCTCGATACAGAAAAATTAAAATTGGGTTATATCAAAAATTTATTTAATGTTCTCAAATAAAGAACATGTTTAATAAATTATATTCTTAAAATTTGATTAATATTCACGGAGAACGTTGAATTTCGCACACCGGTTGGGACTAAGGCACCTGTGCATTACAGTAATATAGAGTTTGCATTCGCTTAGAAAAATTCTATCACATTATTTATCTTAAAAAATGATCTATACTTTATTCTCAGTTTTCAAACCAATATTATTAGGTACTTGCTCTCGCTATGTGAAGGCATATTCCCCCATGGTTGAACTATAGAATTAATCAAAGTACATTTTATATTTAATTAACTATAATTTTCTTTCTGCAACTCGCGCAATTTATTATGAATGTTAAAGTCGATTAAATATTTGGATAATGATGAATAATATATAGTTATCAGGCGTGTAGAGAACAATAACTGCAGTTATTTGTCGACGGATAATCAGTTGTTTGGCCAATAACTGAAAAATTACCCGTCAAAAATTTGACAAATAAAGTTAGTTGCATTCGGCCGCGATAGAGGCTGAATAGCATTTAACAGATTTTTGACGAATAATGCAGTTACATGCCTAGTAACGGTATTATCCTTCTGTCTACCACGATCTGCGTAGACGCTTTTATGTTATTGTGGTTGGTAAATAAAAATAGATCATAACGAATTGAAGGATAATACAGTATATTATTGCGTGCTACAATCGTAGATCATCTCATGCCAAAAAATTTCAAGAATTATATGTTGCGTGCGTAGTAGAAATAACAGCTTATGATGTAATACAGTATTAAACAGTAAATTAAAACGGAATACGTGTTTTTTTTTTTTGTTTTTTTTTTTTTTACAAACACCAAAAGTGATAAATTTTAATGTCAAGTCCTAAATCATTTGTAATTCACTTCATTAACAATTTTGCGTAGCTTTCTTTTTTTTGTTTTAAATTACAGATTATGTTTAAATCATAAACCAAATTTTTATTAGTCAGCACTGTAACAGTTACAAATATGCAATTAATCTCATCAAAGAATAATCTTTTCTAAATTTTCAAGTTAATCACCACCAAGCTTCAGATTTTAAAGTATCAGATTGATTTGAACTGGTAAAGTTCTCTGAATTTTGAACCCACTCATTATCATTCTTTGACCAATTAGTAACCCCTCTAGGATTATTTTTTCTTCCTCGTGGTTCTTCGACAAACTTGTCCGTAGCCTGAGCAGCCCAGGGTGGATTTGTTTCGTTTTGAGCCTTGTCTGAAGTTTGAGATTTAGTTCCCCATTGTGAA